ACCTAGCAGTTCAAAAACATGCAAATGTGAGTGGATTAATAGGTACCGCTCCAGCAGGAATGTAACGGCGTTCCATGCAGTCATGCTGGCCACATGACCTTGGAGGCGTCTACGGACAACGTTGGCTCTTCAGCTTAGAAATGGAGATGAGCACCAACCCCCCAGAGTTGAACACAACTGGACTTAATGTCAGGGGAAAACCTTTACTCTTTACTTTACACTGCCCAATTCAATCAGTATCAAACCGATATTGAAGAAAGTCATTTTGCTGTGCAGCTGATTACAAAGGAAATCCGGCACCAGTTTGAGATCCCAATGGTGATTGCATAACCACAGAGCACTGATGCACCTTAAGGGCTTTCTTTTACACATTTGTTGTCTGGCTGCTGCAATTTGAAGCCAGCTTCAAACTGCATTCAGTGGTCAGTCTGGATAGGACTTTGGTCTCACTGCCAACATGCAAGGCTCTCCTCTCCTCTGAACCGAATCCCTTGCTCCGCTCTCAGAAGGAAGAAGGAAGATGAGAAGGTCTGGCAGGAAGGAGCCTGACCCAGATTTTCCCTAGTGTCTGTCCTCCTCAGCAAACCATCCGGCTTCTGCCAGCCTCCCAGCGGCTGCTTTCTCTCTGATCCAGACATTGCGCTGGCATTTCTCATGACCTTGCTAAGAGAAAGAGGAAGAACAGGGCTTAGAGAACACAATCCCACCAATCCTTCCAACACCTAAAGGTTGCTGAAGTCCCCTCACGGGGTGTGCCAGTCTCGAGAAGGTTTCTTTGCCTTTAATGGTAGCCCCATTCAAAAAAGAGGTGTGGAAACCAATGTTGCTCCTTTTGCCTTCATGAAGGAACAAGGTTTAGAATTATAGAGCTGGAAGAGGCGGCATGGACCATCTAGTCCAGCCCCTGCCATGCAGAAGAAGCACAAAGTACCCCTGACAGATGGCCATCCAGCCTCTGTTTAAAAATGTCTAAGGAAGGGGCCTCCACTACACTTCGAGGCAGAGAGTTCCACTGCTGAACAGCTTTAATTATTTATTTACATTATTTATATTCTGCCCTTCTCACCCCGCAGGTGACTCACGGAGGATTACAATGTACATATACATGGCAAACATTCAATTCCATAGACACACAACATATATAGACAGACACACAGAGGCTATTTAACTCTGAGCTTTCATGAGGGTATTCTGGCCAGCAGGGGAGCTGTTGCTTCACTGTCCATTTGTGACACTGATGGAGTACTTCATTCTTTGCTTGCTTGCTGGAGATTTTATGGCATCCTAAATTAGTTAAATTAGCCTCCCTGCATAAGGGGTACCTAAATTTCCTACTTGAGAGATGCAACTGTCTTTCGGGTTGAAAAGGCCGACAGCAAGCTACACAGTAGTCGGAAGCACACTCCGACCCGGGTTGGCTTTGAACTCATGTCCTTTCAGTCAGTAGTGATCTTAATGCAGCTGACTCCCAGCCAGCTGTGCCACAGTCCCGGTTTTACAGTCAGGAAGTTATTCCCGATATTCAAGTGGAATGTCCTTTCCTGTAATTTGAACCCATTACTCCGAGTCCTAGTCTCCAGGGCAGAAGAAAACAAGGTCTGCTCCCTCTTACTTATGATACTCTTTCACATATTTATGCATGGCTCTCATGTCTCCTCTCAACCTTCTCTTCTGCATGCTAAACATACCCAACTCTTTAAAACCCTCCTCATAAGGCATGGTCTCCAGAGCTTTGATCATTTTAGTTACCCTCTTCTGTACACCTTCCAGCTTAGAGTCAATATCCCTCTTGAATTGTGGTGCCCAGAATTGGACACAGTATTTCAGATAAGACCAAAGCAGAATAGAGAGGCATCATGACTCCCTGTCATCTGGATACTATACTCCTTTTAATGCAGCTCTAAGTTCCATTGGCTTTTTCAGCTGCTGCATCACACTGTTGGCTCATGTTCAAGTTGTTGTCCACGACATTGTTTTCAGATGGACAATAATCGAGCCAAGTATGACCCATTTTGTATCTGTGCATTTCATTTTTTCTACCTAAGTAGAATATCTTACATTTGTCCTTGTTGACGTCCATTTTGTTGACGTTCCGCCTAACAGTAGTATTATTTATTTATTTATTTGTGACATTTATATGCCGGCCTTCTCACCCCTAAGGGGACTCAGAGCGGCTTACAAGATATATATACATACAATATATTATATTATTAGCATAGAACAATATCAGTATTAAATATTACTATATTGTACTATACCATTATATTATAATAATATTATTAGTAATATTACATGTAATAATAATATCATATTATTAGTATTAATATTATATTGCATTACATTATATTATTATAAATATTATATGTATATACAATATATTATATTATATTATATTATATTATATTATATTATATTATATTATATTATCTAGCCCACATTTTACATTTGTCTGCAAGGAGGTCATGGGGGATGTTGTCAAAGGCCTAAGGTTTGAGCTTTTCCATTCCTAATGTTTTGGTGGAATCTCTTTTCTCGTAGACTGAATCCATTGGAAAGGATTTATGCCATCTCCTCTATGACATCCCTTCAGATATGTGAACATGGCTGTCCTGTTACCTCTTAGTCCCCTATTCTTCAAGCTAAACATGCATAGCTTCTTCAATGATTGTTAACTGGACCTTTGACCATCGTGATTGCCTTCCTCTGGACACATTCCAACTTGACCATATCTTTTCTCAATTGGCGCCCGAACCTAGACATAGGAGTCCAGTTGAGGTCAGTCCAAAGTAGAATAGAGAGGCACCAATACTTCTCTTGATATTGTTGCCCACAATGGCATTGACCTTTTTGGATCACGTTTTGGTTTGTAGCCTCCTAAGACGTCTAAATCTCATCTTTGTACAACTTACTTACTTACTTAGGTGATTCCTCGTTGTCCGAGTAGGATTGTCTTCCAAGATCAGTGTACTGGCGGTGGGTCCGTAGGTGACTGTGGAACCCTATTCTTTATCTGCATCTTCTCCCACAGTGAGGGCAATGGTTTCCAAGTCGGTCCCAGTCGGGGTTGGCTTGATGCGCCTTCCTCTTGGCACGTTTCTCTCTTTTGCTCTACATTCATGCCTCCTCAAATTCTACAGCACTGCTGGTCACAGCTGACATCCAGCTGGAATGCTCGAGGGCCAGGGCTTCCCAATTCTCAGTGTCTATACCAGAGGTCTTAAGGTTGGCTTTGAGCAACTGCTTTGGGAGACTGTGGTCAGGCATCCGGACAATGTGGCCGGTCCAATTGAGTTGATGGCAGAGGACCATCACTTCAATGCTGGTGGTCTTTGCTTCTTCCAGCACACTGACATTTGTCTGCTTGTCTTCCCAAGAAATTTGCAGGATTTTTCGGAGGCAATGCTGATGGAATCGTTCTAGGAGTTGCATGTGACGTCTGTAGACAGTCCACATCTTGCAAGCATATAGCAAGGTTGGGAGGACAATAGCTTTATAAACAAGCATCTTGGTATATCTTTGCACAAATCTTGCTTTCAGCACTGGAGAGCGATTGCTGCCAGTCTGAATTTTCAATACAAGCCATGATGTACCAATGGGCTAACTCAGCAGCTTCCTAGTAATATTCCATAACAATTCTACCATTTCTCAACACTAGTTCTCATAGGATTTTGGTAAGTGAGAAGTATCAGGTCTGACCCTATAGAGGAATGGCCAGGTAGGACTAGGAAAAAAAAACTGCCAAAATGCTATGAAACTCCAGAGAAAGCACTTTTAGAGAGCAAAACCCATACAAATGCAATTGAGAATCTGGGGGGGCATGTGCTCTGAGGAAAATGCAGCAATCTGTGTTTTACTGGGTTGCTGTGAGCTTTCCTGGCTCTATGGCCATGTTCCAGAAGCATTCTCTCCTGACATTTTGCCCACATCTATGGCAGGCATAGATGTCGGCAAACTAGGTAAGTGAGGTTTATATATCTGTAGAATAATGTCCAGGGTGGGAGAAAGAACTCTTGTCTGCTTGAGGCAAGTGTGCATGTTGCAATTGGCCATCTTGATTAGCATTTAATGGTCTTGTAGCTTGAAAGCCTGGCAGATTGCTGTGTATTTTTTTTCTGTGTATTTTTTATCACTGCCACTGAGTGACTCATTCATTAGCCAGAGACAGCAAAACAAATGAATTTTTCTTAAGCTACAATGCCCCTCAAGGCAGCCCAGAGCTCTGCAAAAACAGATAGGTTTCATACAGCCAATTTGAGTGTGAAAGCAGAGCGACTAATACACAGTGGCACAGTGGGTTAAACCCTTGAGCCGCCAAAACTGAAGACCGACAGGCCGGAGGTTCGAATCTGGGGAGAGCGCTGATGAGCTCCCTCTGTCAGCTCCAGCTCCCCATGCGGGGACATGAGAGAAGCCTCGCACAGGATGGTAAAACATCAGAGTGTCTCCTGGGCAACGTCCTTGCAGACAGCTGATTTCTCTCACACCAGAAGTGACTTGCCGTTTCGCAAGTTGCTCCTGACATGAAAAAGAAAATCAATACACTGAACTACCCAAAGAAGAACTTTAAAACAGTCCAAAATGATGACTAGAATATGGAAATGCCTGTAATGCGTTTGGTGCCACCACCGACAAAGCCCTGCCTGAAGGTAATAGAAAACACTTTCCCATGACATTTTAAATCCAAATCATAACCGTAACCATGCGTCACTCTCTTAAGAATGATTAAAATAATATCTTAGCTAATTAGTAACTTGCTCCCATGTTGTTAAGATGTTAATTAGTAACTTATGGGTCCCATGTGGCTCAGTAATTGCTGGTGGAGGAGTCCCGTAAGCCGTTAATAGCTAACCCTCTTGAGTGATGGATGGCACAATTATGTTTCATATTTCGCCTTTTCGGAACCAGGAGAAGTGACTTTAGAGACCACTTGATCTCCGATTTGGGGATCTGGATGCTCTTTGGGCCTCTCTTTCATGTCAAATTGTCTCTCTTTCTTGCAGCCAAAGCCACAAAACGCCATCACCATTGCTGTCTCCTCTCGGGCCCTTTTCCGAATGGAAGAGGAGCAGAAGATCTACAACGAACAAGGAGTAGAGGCCTATGTCAAATACCAACTGGACCATGAGAATGAAGCTTTCCTTCCTGGAGCTGCCTTCCCTTTCGTCAAGGTCTGCACCTTCTGCAATGTGTTCTACATGAAAGACAATTCTGGGATCTAATAGAGTTTGCAGCGGATCTCTTCCAAACCATTGAGTGCAACTTGTGGGGTTTCCATCATGTGCCAAAGCAAAGAGGGAATTGCTTCATCACTTTTTCCAATAAGAACAGAGGTAGAAATGTATCGGGTATATGTGGCCCATATCTAGGATGCATCTGCACTGTCGAATTAATGCTGTTTGGCACCACTTTCACTGCCATGGTTCAAATCATGGGAACTTTTGTTTTGTGAGGCCCTTCCTTTGGAGGGAAGGCTGCAGACCTTGTAAAGCTACAAATCCCAGGACTCCATTGCATTGAGCCAGGGCAGTCAAAGTGGGATCAAACTACATTAATTTGACAGTGGAGATGCACCTCTGGTCCTCCTGCCCCATTTTTAAAACCTAATTGCAGATGCATGCCAGGAAAGGCTGAATGCGTGAAATGTGGCTATGAACAAACGCCGCTGAATATCTCAGTCCAATCATCATCATCACCATCATCATCATCTTTATTTCTACCCCACCACCATCTCCCCAAAGGGGACTTGGAGTGGCTTACATAAGGCCAAGCCCAGTGATACATTACAGCAAAATAAAATATAAACAACAAAAATAATATCACAATAAAATAAGCAATTCAAGTAAAATAAACAGTGCAAAATAACATGCATTGCATTAGGCGATCCCTCGTTGGACGAGTAAGATGTTCTTCCTTGATTACTATTTTTGTGGGTTTGTAGGTGGCTGTGGAGCCCTATTCTTGACCCGCATCTTCTCCCACAGTGAAGGCATTGGTTTCCAGGTGGAAGGCGGTCCCGGTCGGGGTTGGCTTGACGCGCCTTCCTCCTGGCACGTTTCTCTCTTTCACCCTCCACTCGTGCCTCCTTGAATTCTGCAGCACTGCTGGTCACAGCTGACCTCCAGCTGGAGCAGTCAAGGGCCAGGGCTTCCCAGCAAAATAACATAATGGAAAATCAAACACAGTGGGCGGGCCAAATGCATGACATAAAATGATAAAACTCTGGATGGGATAGCAATGAAAAAGGTATATTTGTGGGGGAGGGTTAGGGTCCTAGTCCCAGCACATCATAAAGTTGCATTAAGGATTTAAGATTCCTATTTATTTATTTATTTATTTATTTAGTATATTTGTATACTGCCCCTCTCAGCCTTCCGGCAACTCGAGGCAGTTTACAAGGCAAAATTCAATGCCACCAAGAAGACAATTACAATATAAAACGTCAACATCAATATTCCTATAGAGTTATCCAGTCTAGGAATTTGCTAGGTCTTCAACACAATATTATGGCTGCTGCTATTATTATTTAATACACAACAGGAGTAGAACACAACAAACTAGATCACTATGATGGCTTGTGTGTTCAATCACACGTCTAGGACTATGTGATGTATCAGCAAATAATGCATGCAGACCTGGGTAGGGTGGCCTTTTGCGATTGACAGAAGGTGATTTTGTCAGTGCCGATCGTTCTTAAGTGCAGGTCAAGGTCCCTCCACACTCCAACCAGCACCACACAGTCCCCAATGCCACCTGGCTGTAGGTCAGGTTGCTTGCTCTTGACCAAACTTCCCTGACATTTTCTGACCCTTTAGGCCTTGGAAGCGGTCAACATGCAGCTGCGGACACTTTATCCGGACAGCGAGGAGCTTTTCGATATCGTCCTGATGACCAACCACCATGCTCAAGTTGGAGTCCGCTTGATCAACAGCATCAACCACTACAGTGAGTAGCCAGGACTTCAGATTGTAGGTTTCATTCAGTGATGGACAGTGGCTCCCATGTTAATGGGAACAAGGCATCCATACTTTTGTAAGTCCAGACATCAGTGGACCTTTCCAGAAGTGAAGAGTATGGTGAAAAGAGAAATGAAAAAAAAAATGGAAAATTACCAAAGCAGAAAAGGGAGCGGGGGCTTGAGAGGGAGATGAATCTTTCTTAGTCAAAGCTATAAGGGAAGGAATAAATCGGTGTTTCTCCGCCTGGGGGTCAGGACCCCTGGGAGGATCGTGAGGTGGTGTCAGAGGAGTCGCCAAAGACCATCAGAAAACACAGTATTTTCTATTGGTCATTGGGGTTCTGTGTGGGAAGTTGGGCCAATTGGTGTGGTTCAGAATGCTCTTTGATTGTAAGTGAATTATAAATCCCAGCAACTACAACCCCCAAATGTCAAGGTCTATTTTTCCCAAACTCCACCAGTGTTCACATTTGGGCATATTGAGTATTCGTGCCAAATTTGGTCCTGATCCATCATTATTTGAGTCCACAGTGCTCTCTGAATGTAGGTGAACTACAATTCCAAAATGCAAGGTCAATGCCCACCAAACCCTTCCAACATTTTCTGTTGTTCATGGGAGTTCTGTGTACCAAGTTTGGTTGAAATCCATTGTTGGTGGAGTTCAGAATGCTCTTTGATTGTAGATGAACTATAAATCCCAGCAACTACAACTCCCAAATGGCAAAGTCATTTATTTACTGTCTTGATTTTAGAGGGTTTTTTTAATACTAGAAGCTAGATTTTGTTCATTTTCATGGTTTCCTCTTTTCTGTTGAAATTGTCCACATTCTTGTGGATTTCACTGGCTTCTCTGTGTAGTCTGACATGGTGGTAGTTAGTCGTCCAGCTATTCTGTGTTCTCAAATAATATTCTGTGTTCAGGTTGGTTCATCAGGTGCTCTGCTATGGCTGACTTCTCGGGTTGAATTAGTCTACAGATTATTGTAAGTCAACCTGCAGTGACAAAAAAACATTGCAGTGCTAGTTTTGCCACCTTGAATAACTCCTTCAAGTCAGAGGGGCCACTCCATGTGCTGAGCATAGTTTGGGACACACGTTTCTTTATCTTCTTCTCTCTTACAGACCTATTTATTGAGAGGTTTTGCATGACAGGTGGGAACAGCCCCATCGACTACCTGAAGGCCTACCACACCAACCTGTACCTCTCCTCTGACTGTGAGAAAGTGACAGATGCCATTGAAGAAGGTGAGCAAGAACACACCTGGTAGTTGATCTTTAAGTAATAGATGGTAGGGCATGAATTCTGGAAGGAAAGATAAGCTTGGAAAAGAGTCCGGAAATGACATGTGCATTAGATGTGCCATTAGGAGAGCATCAAAACTAATAGCTTAAACTGAAGTAGTATGAATCTCTATGTGTGGAGTGATGTATTTTTTTTGTCGTGTCAGGAGTGACTTGAGAAACTGCAAGTCGCTTCTGGTGTGAGAGAATTGGCCGTCTGCAAGGACGTTGCCCAGGGGACGCCTGGATGATTTGATGTTTTTATCATCCTTGTGGGAGGCTTCTCTCATGTCCCCGCATCAGGAGCTGGAGCTAACAGAGGGAGCTCATCCATGCTTTCCCCGGATTCGAACCTGCGACCTGTCGGGTCTTCAGTCATGCCGGCACAGGGGTTTAACCCACTGCGCCACTGGGGGCTCCAGTGATGCATTAAGTATGCTATATAACCTTTGTGTTCAGTGGCAACTTGGAGTAACTGAAGGTGTACCCAAAGATGCAACCTGTAACACATTTTTTGTCCCTGAGTTATAAATGCCATTTCCTAATTGGTTCTATCATAAAAACATGGAAAAGGGTTCATTAAACTGCAAGAACTTGGTCTTTGTGGGAGGGACATCCTGCAGCACATTTTGATATAGTTTTTCAATAAATATCTCATCATAGAGTCTCAACCATAGAATCATAGAATCACAGAATCATAGAGTTAGAAGAGACCTCGGGGGCCATTCAGTCCACCCCCCTGCCAAAAAGCATGAAAATCGTATTCAAAGCACACCTGACAGATCATAGAATCATAGAGTTGGAAGAGACTTTGTGGGCCATCCAGTCCAACCCCCTGGCAAGAAGCAGGAAAGTCACATTCAAAGCACCTCTGACAGATGGCCATCCAGCCTCTGGTTAAAAGCCTCCAAAGAAGGAGCCTCCACCACATTCCGGGGCAGAGAGTTCCACTGCTGAACAGCGCTCACAGTCAGGAAGTTCTTCCTAGTGTTCAGATGAAATCTCCTTCTTGTAGTTTGAAACCATTGTTCCACGTTCTAGTCTTCAGAGCAGTAGAAAACAAGCTCGCTCCCTCCTCCCTATGACTTCTTCTCACATATTTATACATTGCTGTCATGTCTCCTCTCACCCTTCTCTTCTTCAGGCTAAACATGCCCAGCTCTTTAAGCCGCTCCTCATAGGTCTTGTTCTCCAGACCCTTGATCATTTTAGTCGCCCTCCTCTACACATTCCAGCTTGTCAATATCTCTCTTCAATTGTGGTGCCCAGAAATGGACACAGTATTCCAGGTGATGGCCGCATAGTTTGTGGTAGACACAAAAACAAAGTTACTTATTTTATTTATCATGTCAGGGCAACCAATTATATTACATTTCTAACAGAACAAAGCAAACAAACAGACAAAATACAAAATTTGTGAGTTTGGTAGTTGGTTAAATGTCCTTTGACCAATATCTGGCCACTTGGAGTGCTTCTGGTGTTGCTGCAAGAAGGTCCTCCATCGTGCATGTGGCTGGGCACAGGTTGCATTGCAGCAGGTGGTCAGTGGTTTGCTCTTCTCCGCACTTGCATGTCGAGGATTCCACTTTGTAGCCCCATTTCTGAAGGTTGGCTCTGCATCTCGTGGTGCCAGAGCGCAGTCTGTTCAGCACATTCCAAGTCGCCCTGTCCTCTGTGTGCCCAGGGGGGAGTCTCTCATTTGGTATCAGTCATTGGTTGAGGTGCTGGGTTTGAGCCTGCCACTTTTGGACTCTCGCTTGCTGAGGTGTTCCAGCGAGTGTCTCTGTAGATCTTAGAAAACTATTTCTAGATTTAAGTCGTTGAAGTGCTGGCTGATACCCAAACAGGGGATGAGCTGGAGATGTTTCTGCCTTGGTCCTTTCACTATTGGCTGCGACTTCCTGGCGGATGTCAGGTGGTGCGATACCGACTAGACAGTGTAATTTCTCCAGTGGTGTAGGGCGCAGGCACCCCGTGATAATGCGGCATGTCTCATTAAGAGCCACATCCACTGTTTTAGTGTGGTGAGATGTGTTCCACACTGGGCATGCGTACTCAGCAGCAGAGTAGCACAGCGCAAGGGCAGATGTCTTCACTGTGTCTGGATGTGATCCCCAGGTTGTGCCAGTCAGCTTTTGTATGATATTGTTTCTAGCACCCACTTTTTGCTTGATGTTCAGGCAGTGCTTCTTGTATGGTCCAGAGTGACTCCCAGGTATTTGGGCGTGCTGCAATGCTCGAGCAGACCTATGAGAACAAAGTTACTTCTTTCACAGTAAGGACTGCACAATTAAACAGGAAATAACACTTTCAAACCAGGAATAGAACATTTTTCAAATTTTGTTACACAGTGTGACTGAATGTGTCTTTGCATCCATTTGCACATCTAGGTGTCCATTGACATACACATTGGCGCAATACAGTATATTGCACAAAAATATCCCGGTTGTTTCTCTAAGGGAACCTTGGGCATGGATAAAATGCCATTAGGATGTGGTCCATATCATGAGAAAAGTTTAGGAATGTCCATTCCAGTTTCTCCCTTGGCATCCCTTCTTTCAAAAAGAAGGAATTGACTTGATCTTCTTCCGGATAGAAGGTGGACAGAGAGCAGGAAGACCTTGGTGAGATGCTTCTTGACCCCCATTCCTCCCTCCATTTCCAAGGCATTGCTGCAGCCACCATCTTCAGTCCCAACCGGGATGTGCAGGTCTCTGAGGACCAGCTGCGCGTTGCCTTTGACGGGGACGCTGTCCTCTTCTCAGATGAATCCGAGCAGATTGTGAAGGCTCATGGGCTGGACAAGTTCTTCGAACACGAGCAGACCTATGAGAACAAGCCACTAGCTCAGGTATGGCAGGCAATATCTGGAGGGGTGGGATGTTGGGAGGACAAGTCCTAATGGGTCAAAAACTACTCAATTCCTTATTTGCTTCAGTCTTCTTTCTCACGAAAGGTTAACAGTGCTCAACTTTGGGATAATGGAGGCATTGGGGCAAAAGAGTAATGCAGCACAGAATAGGTAAAGAGGCTGCACAGGAGTATCTGGCTAATCTAAATGGATTCAAGTCTCCAGGGCCAGATGAACTACATCCAAGGGCATTAAAAGAAGCGAAAGAAGTAATTTCAGAACCAATTACTATTATATTTGAGAATTCCTCAAGAATAGGAGAAATTCCAGCAGACTGAAGAAAGGCAAATATCATCTCCTTATCCCTTGTGGTTTCTTATCTATATAAATAAAAATGTAATGTTTGTTTGTGGGACTAACATAAGTCAAAAACAACTGGACAAATTGCCACCACTTTTGGCCACAAGACACCTACTAACTCAAGGTGTGACCATCACTCAAAAAATTGATTTTGTCATTTGGGAGTTGTAGTTGCTGGGATTTATAGTTCACCTACAATCAAAGAGCATTTTGAACCCCACCAATGATGAAATTGAACCAAACGTGGCACACATAACTCCAATGACCAACATGGGCATTGACCTTGAGTTTAGGGTTAGGGTTAGGAAAGGTTTAATGGACATTAACCTTGAGTTTTGGAGTTGTAGTTCACCTACATCCAGAGAGTACTGTGGACTCAAACAATGATGGATTTGGACCAAACTTGGCACGAATATTCCATATGCCCAAATATGAACACAGATGGAGTTTGGGGGGAAACAGACCTTGACATCTGGGAGTTGTAGTAACTGGGATTTATAGTTAACCTACAATCAAAGAGCATTCTGAACCCCACCAACGACAGAATTGGGGCAAACTACCCACACAGAACCCCCATAACCAACATAAAATACTTAAGGCCATCCAGTCCAACTCCCTTCACCAGGGCAAGAAAATGTCATCAAAGCCCTCCTGACAAAGAGCCATCCAGCCATATATATATATATATATATATATATATATATAGATCTAGATGATTCACACACACACAGATATAGTATCCTAGATTTGAAAGGGACCCCTAAAGAAGAACAATTATATGTTGCATGTTCCTGAGTAGGCAAGGCAGACAATCTCGACATCAACACTAACAAAGAAACAACAAGAAATACTGTTTACCCACAAGCATAAAGAAATTGCATATATTAGAAACCAATACTTTCTAATTACTTCATTTTCCAGATCACCAGACTGGACCACAGCAATGCCTGGCAGGGGACGGCTAGTCCTTCTATAAGATTCCAAATAACTTCTTGTCAGAAATTCCTCTACAGATTCCAAAATGGTTCAAAGGTCACAAAAATCTTAGTGGAAATGACCCTCATGTCAACTGATGGGATTGGAGGATGAAAAATTAATATTTTCCCCAAGGGAATATGGTCTTCCAAGGTCTTATTGTGGGGACAATGAACCCCTATGACTCCCATCCATTGCCTCCTCTTCCTGTTTGCAAACCAGAAGTGCAGAAAATGCTCTGTCTGAGGCCACCACCTCTTTCTTATTTCCTTCCTTCCTTCCAGGGGCCACTGAAAGGTTTCCTGGAAGCCCTGGGGAAGCTCCAGAAGAAGTTCTACTCCAAAGGCCTGCGCCTAGAGTGCCCCATCCGCACCTACTTGGTTACTGCCCGCAGCGCTGCCAGTTCGGGGGCCCGGGCCCTAAAGACTCTCCGGAGCTGGGGCCTGGAGACGGATGAAGCCCTCTTTCTTGCTGGGGCCCCCAAGGGCCCCTTGCTGGAGAAGATCCGCCCACACATCTTCTTCGACGACCAGATGTTCCACGTGGAGGGGGCAAAGGAGATGGGCACCATTGCGGCCCACGTCCCCTATGGGGTGGCCCAGAAACAGCGGCGCGCGGCTCAGGGGACGAAGGCCCCAATTAACAAGTAAGGCTGGGTTAGACCCTTCATGAAGATGTGGAGGCCTCCAAGTTCTGTCTCTTGCTGGTCGTAAAAGATTCAGAACATCACCCGTGATACCTGGAACCAGGGAGGCAGGTAGATGGCTTGAGGAGGTGGCCTTCTGGATGTAGAGGTTGCCCTTTATGGCAATGTTTTTTCCTTCCTTGCAACTGTGGGTCAATGCCATGCTTTTGGGTCCACCACATCCGTATCAGACTCACCTCTAGCCTCTTGCCATGCCACTATCTCTTGGTTCCAGGCTTACCATCCACACATAGTGCTTTGTGGGCTGATGCTCATCTGATTTCTTTGCTCCTGAATATCTGTGATGTGTTTCACTTGACCTGCAATATGTGGAGATATGTGTGTTTCATGCTTCCAGGTGGCATCACATAGAGCTTGCCATGAATGACACAAATGTAAAGTATTGTGAGCATTTTTACTCTGGAGCTTTGGGGCACAAAGGGGTCATTTCTCAGGTTATGAAAAAAGAGATAAGGTCGAACAAAACATGCAAACAAGTCAGGAATTAAATGTTTCAGAAAGCAAGCCCAAAGTAGGGGTGTTGTGCACCCCAAGATGACCAAAAAGGGGAGGAGAACTCCAGCCAAACAAAGCCTAGAAGCATTAGAAGAAAATATCAGACTCTGCTTCTTCTGGATCATTGGGTTTGCACTGCAAGCACACGGCTCAGATTTGGCCCCATCCCAAAGTGGGCATTCTTAGAAAGAGAAGGGCGGAGAAGGGTCAAAGTGTTTGCCTGAGGATGCCATACAGAAATCCCTTCTCATTTTTTATGGTTCACAAAAGCCATAAATATGCAAACAGGGAGACATTTCCCTGGAGTTACTTCTTTCAGAATGTTTCTTGGAATCAGGTTCTGAATCCAGATCCCATCCCTTCCCCCCCCCCCCCCCCCCCCGGTTTAAACTATGCACCAAAATATAGCATAAATATTAACAAGAATATACACCAACTTTGCCTGTAAGTGATTCTGGATCAGAATGGGGAAGGAGGGGAATTTGGGGGTGTTTAGGATTAAATTTGAGGGCTTTTTTCGTGTCAGGAGGAACTTAAGAAACTGCAAGTTGCTTCTGGTGTGAAATAATTGGCCATCTGCAAGGACATTGCCCAGGGATGCCCAGATATTTTACCATCCTGTGGGTTCTCTCATGTCCCTGCATGAGAAGCTGGAGCTGACAGATGGCAGCTCACCCTGCTCCCCGGATTCGAACCGCCGACATTTTGGTCGGTACAAGGTTCTAACCCATTGTGCCACCAGGGTCTCCAAATTTGAGCTCAGGTATACATAGAGTTTTAGCGATCTGACTGTAGAAAATGGGTCATCCTTCCTTTCTCAAAAAAGGAAGAAGATGGTAGAGAGAGCATAAGCATGCATATGGTGATTTTAGGGGAAATTCTTTAATCAGCATTGGATCTGATTTAGGTTCAAATCCATACTTAGGGTTTCTTCTGTCCCTGCTGAATCTACTTCAAGAGGTTGCTGTATGGTTTAGATAACTTCCACAGACATATATGTTTGCACACTGTTTTCTTTGAAAACAGATGGATGAAACATACCATCGATATGCAAACTGGAACCTTTCAATTCCAGCTTTTCGCCACTTGTGTTTGCTTATGAACAAAACAGCATTTTATTGGCCAACTGTCACCTTTATGGATGTTTTCTCTACAATAAACTCTCTCCCTCTGTGTTACCAGTCTCTTCTGTTTTCTGAATGCTAGAGTATGGTTTGAGAATGGTATATTGGGAACATGCCAATGCATCCTTACACATATGGACTAGAACAGTGGTTCTCAACCTTCCTATTTATTTATTTAGAACTTTTATATGCCGGTCTTCTCACCTCTAGAGAGGGACTCAGGCTGGTTTACAACATGATTCAAAGGCAATAGTTTAAAACATCAGACCATAAAACACATTAATACAAAAAAATACATTAAAAGCAATCATATAATGCTGCAATCCCCTTAATATAGTTCCTCATGTTGTGGTGACCCCCAACCATAACATTATTTTTTGTTGCTACTTCATAACTGTAATTTTGCTACTGTTATGAATCGTAAAGTAAATATCTGATATGCAGGATGTATTTTCATTTGCTGGACCAAATTTGGCACAAATACCAGATATGCCCAAAATAGAATACTGATGGGGTTGTGCGGGGAAGGGGGGGGGATGATTTTGTAATTTGGGAGTTGTAGTTGCTGGGATTTATAGTTCACCTACAATCAAAGAGCATTCTGAATTCCCCCAGTGACGAAATTGAACCAACCTTGGCACACAGAATCCCCATGACCAACAGAAAATATTGGAAGGGTTTGGTGAGCATTGACCTTGACTTTTGGAGTTATAGTTCACCTACATCCAGAGAGCACTGTGGACTCAAATAATGATGGATCTGGACCAAACTTGCCACGAATACTCAGTATGCCCAAATATGAACACTGGTGGAGTTTGGGGAAAATAAACCTTGACATTTGGGAGTTGTAGTTGCAGGGATTTATAGTTCACCTACAATCAAAGAGCATTCTGAACCCCACCAATGATAACATTGGGCCAAACTTCCCATACTGTGTTTTCTGATGGTCTTTGGCGACTCTTCTAATACCCCTCACGATCCCCCCCCAGGGGTCCCAACCCTCAGGTTGAGAAACGCTAGACTAGGTATTTGAGTGACAGGGAGCAAGGCAAGGATATGATCCAAAGTCAAATGGTGGATTCTGTATCAGCAATCTAGTGAATTTCCTCTAGATTTTAATCCAGACCTTAAATCTAAGTTACTGAACCTATTTGGGGTTGGGGGAGCTTCATCATCTTGAACAGCGTCTTCAAATACTGGAAGAACCCCTTGATCAGATTCACTAAGCCAGAGTTTTTCAAACTCTGATCCTCCAAATGTTTTGGACTTCAGCTCCCACAATTCCTAACAGCTGTTTTTTCTTTTTCCGAGTCAGAAGCCACTGGAGAAAGTAGCTTCTTGTGTGAGAAATTTGGCCTTCTGCAAGGACATTGCGCAGGGTATCAGACTGGTGATAGCAGACCGCGGAAGCAAGCACATATCCTGTTAAAGATATTTCAGCCCCTTTTAATATAGTGTGACCCTTAACTCAATAATACACATGAGTCAGTTGTGGCTTTAAGTAGCATTCACTTTAGTTCAATAATGATGCAAAACATATCAGAATAGTTAATCTCACCAAAGCATAATAACAAAAACTTTTAGTGAGTCTTCTTCTTTCTACGACTACAGGAACTAAACATAGTAAATAGTTCAGTGTCTGTCCCCATTGCTGAAAATAAGATGCCCTTGGTTTGTAGTTTAGATAAGCAGTCTTTCTTGGTCTTGACTTAATGCTTTAGTTTTCAGCTTCCAAACGCTGCATGACAGCTCCCAGCAATAAAAACAGCCACCTGCTGCTTCCAGCTCCCATGAGCTACCAGCTCTAAAACACAGCCAAGCAAAGCTAAGCAAATGCAAAGCTCAGCAACCACAAACTTAGTGCCTTGTTTTATACAGTAAGTAGATAACACATCCAACTAACGGCTGCTCTAGTGCTATAATATTTATTTATTTATTTAGAATACTTCCACCCCACCCTTCTGAACCCCCTAAGGGGGACTCAGGGCGGCTTCCAACCGGCATACGTTTGATGCCTACAATTCAACACAATATAATACATAGTAACAATAATTATAAACAATTAAAACATTACATTAATACAATAAAAAGCCAGCCTGGTGGCCATCGTTTCGCCAAGTCCGTAATTAATAAATTCATTCCGCTTATCATAGTCGGTTTCCAAAGCTTTAGTCGTCATTGTCCTTGTCAGTCTGCCAGATTACCCAAAGGCCTGGTCCCATATCCATGGTTTTAATTTCCTTCTGAAAGAGAGGAGGGATGACAATGATCTAATTTCCCCGGGGAGTGAATTCCACAGGCGGGGGGCCACCACTGAGAAGGCCCTGACCATCATCCCCGCCAATCTCATATGTGTCAAGGGCGGGCCTGAGAGCAGGGCCCCTCCAGAAGATCTTAAATTCCTAGGCGGGACGTAGAAGGAGATACGTTCGGACAGGGCCTGTGCCGTATACTGTAGAATCGTTCAGATCCTTGCTATTGTATTGTCGAAGGCTGGAATCACTGGGTTGTTGTAGGTTTTTTGGGCTATACGGCCATGTTCTAGAAGCATTCTCTCTTGATGTTTCGCCTGTCCATGGTAGGCATCCTCAGACATTTCGCCTGCCAGAGATGCAGGTGAAACATCAGGAGAGAATGCTTCTAGAACATGGCCATATAGCCCGAAAAACCTAAAACAACCCAGTCCTTGCTATTTCTTAGCAAAAAGCCTTTTGTAAACTGTTAGGGGATGCCCAGATGTTTTACCATCATGTCCATCATGTCCATGCATGAGAAGCTGGAGCTGACAGACGGGAGCTCAACCCGTCTTGTGGATTCAAGCCGGCGACTTTCAGGTCAGGAGTTCAGCGAGCACAGGGGTTTAACCCATTCTGCCACCATGGCTCCCTAACAGCTGGTAAAATGGCTGGGATTTTTGGGAGCTGAAGTCCAAAACATCTGGAGGAGCAGTTCAAGAAACACTGCACTAAGCCATTGATATAGATACCACTGGTTGCTCCTGATAAAATTCTATTATTTCTTCTAGTATAGTTTCAACTTTCTCTCTCCGGTGAACTAAAGTTTACCTTTTGTAGCTGGGAAGAGAAAGTGGGATTGTGCTGCATATCACCCCAAGAAATGAACTAAAAATGTACAGAATGACTGGAACTGCTGGGGAAACACTTGCCGGAAGAGACCTCCTTGTGGAGTGCCATGGAGATGATGGAGAATGCTTGTTTTGGCCAGAAATTAGGGCACAATCTGATTTATTCATGAAGAATTTCCAGAGAGAAAGATCTGGAAGATGGTGGACTCTCCTTCTTTGGAAGCTTTTAAATGCAGGTTGGATGAGTATATTCCAGGAGAGTTTTATCCATCTGTTGCTGCACTGAAAGAGGTTGGACTAGATGGCCTCTGTGATTCCTTCTGACTCTATAATTCCAGGATTCTGGTCTTTTTCTGTTGAGAGGAGATGCACCAGAAGCTTTTGTTGAAGTTGAAACATCCCACTGAGATGCCCAAGCATTAAATGGGCTGTGTGCTTTGGGTTCACCGTTTGTTCTGATTAGTTTAATAAAGCCCAAACCCAACAAAAAACATCACTTTCTCTCACTGCTGATCCCATTTTTAAAACTCAGGGCGAAATATCCCACCCTGGTCTCCCTGTCCCTGCTTCCACAGCACTTCATCTGGGAAAGGAGCTCTCTCCGATTTCATCTTGCATATTTGAACAGTGCCCAATCGCAAATTATTTTTAGGCCTCTCTGATTTAGACGCCCCACTCAGATTGCAGTCTGGTTTTGAGGGAAAGCAAATAGCTCCCTTTGACTGAGACCCCCTTAAGAGGCAATGTTTGGGATGATCAGAAATCACTTCCAGTCATTTTCAAACCATCTGGAGAGCTGCTTTCTTACCACTTTAGGGCATGCACCTTAAACATATAAAGGAAAAACGTATTTGGGGCTGAAAAACACATTATCTGTTGTGTTGTTGAAGGCTTTCATGGCCAGAATCACTGGGTTGCTGTGAGTTTTCCGGGCTGTATGACGACATTCCACATTGGAGCCCCCGGTGGCGCAGTGGGTTAAAGCGCTGAGCTGCTGAGCTTGTTGACTGAAGGTCACAGGTTCGAATCCGGGTAGCGGCATGAGCTACCGCTGTCAGTCCCAGCTTCTGCCAACCTAGCAGTTCGAAAACATGTAAATGTGAGTAGATCAATAGGTACTGAGGTAACAGAGCTCTATGCTGTCATGCCGGCCACATGACCT